GCAGGAGCAGCGGCTCTCTCCCCAGCATGCAGCGCCTGGTCAGACTGACCAGCCGTCGCTGCAGCAGGAGAGGTTTTGCTTACACTTACCTGACATTCTTTATCAGAGGGATTGCTCTTGTTCACACAATGCTGATTTCCTCTCCTGGTTATTGTCTCTTGTACCATCCCTGTGATCCAGCTGTTGTTCTTTCCTGCAGAAGAGAGTGGGAGATCCGCCTGCAAGAGACACTGGGCCCCCACTACGTCATGCTCTACTCAGCTGCTCATGGGGTGCTGTACATGTCGGTCTTCATTCGGAGGGACCTGATCTGGTTCTGCTCAGGTGCGTGGTCCATTAAGAGCTGGAGAGTGGAGGGGTGAAAGGAACTGCTGCCGTTGGGTGTCCTTCTCTCCATGGCTGCCCCTTTCCTCACTTTCCTGCTCCCTGTCCCTAGAGGCTTTTCAGTAAAAGCGGCTTCTTTTTCTCCTTCCAGAAGTGGAGTATGCCACGGTGACAACTCGAATCGTATCGCAGATCAAAACCAAGGGGGCCCTGGGAATCTCCTTCACGTTTTTTGGGACCTCCTTTCTCTTCATCACCTCCCACTTCACGTGTGAGACATTTACAGTCTTGTTAAAGTGTCCTGACTGAGGGAGGAGGAGGAGGGTTGCTTTACAGAGGTAAAAAAGCTGCAGGGGGATAGAGGTGCACGTCAGGCTGAAGTCAAAGCTCAGGATTGCTGAGCTGAGAACAACAAGGGAAGAGGACTTTTTTGTAGTAAACTCACAAAAGAACTGTGTTTAAAAAAACAGAAATGAACTGTGCACAATTGTATCCCTCTTTGCCCACCCTCTGTCATCATTTTTCAGTGTGCATATGCCCTGGGTCAATGTTATATTTTACATGTGGGAAATGTCTGATGTCCTGTGGAAGCTCCTGTTTTAACCAAAAATAGTAACTGAATGAAAACAATGCATCGTTGGCAGTAATGGGTTTTCTGTCTTTCAGCTGGGGACAGCAAGGTGAATGAGAGGAAACTGGACTACAACAAAACCATTCAGAGCCTTACGCTTCCCAAGAATGTTCCGGACACAAACCCGTATCGATCCAGTTCTGGTAAGTGCGAAACCTCTCTTGGGTGGGAGCCCAAATGAACAGAGTTTGTGCATTAGTTTTCAGTCTGTGCTAAGGAAGAGAGAATGAGAGTGCTAATCTGAGACAATATACAAAGAGACCACAGGATGGTGGCTGTTCACACGATTCATTGGTTTTAGATGGGCTGTAATTTGGGGAGAAATCTGAGAGAAGTTGAAACGAGGAGGAGAAAGAAATCAAAAGGAATTTTCATTTTTTCTCAGAGCAGCAATAAGATCACTTTGGTGCAACCCTATCAGTATTAGGGATGTGTTTCACTTTCCAAGTATTTTCTAGAACATTACAAATTATTTCAAAACTTCAGAGAAGGATCATAGTTTCAACTTGCATATGCACAAGTCAGCACATTGTTTGCCAGATCCCATTACTGTTTCTTAATACTGAGCTGTTAACGTGATGTCTAGAGATATAGCTAAGCCCTTTTTCTAGAGAGATGAATTTACTCTTTATCTGCAGTGTAGCATCAGGATTTTTTGTTCATAATGGTTTTATGTCCTATTGATATTTTTTAGTCTCTTTTCAGCTTTTTCTATGATTTTTTTTTTTTATTTCTGTTCTATTTTCTACTTTTTTTATGACACATTCTGTGGTGGTCACAGGCAGAAAACATGCTCAAGTATTGTACCTCCTGGTAGTAAAAAGAAGGAATTTGTGCCTGTTCCTTTGGCGTACACCTAGCAGCACTCTCAGTGAGCTCTGCACCACACAGCTCTCCCTTCAAAAGAATGGAGTTTCATTTTAATGAGTGTGTAGCTACACCACATGCTTCAGTTTTCTTCCAAAGTCAAAGGGAGATTCAGGGCAGAAACGTTTGGGCTATTTTCTTGTTTTGCTTTCAGAACCTCTCAGGGTGTTCACCCTCATTCTGACCCTTCTGGCTTGGATTTGCAGGGGATGTCACAACACGGTTTGATGAAGTGTTCTGGTTTGGTGACTTCAACTTCCGACTAAATAAGGATCGGGAGACTGTGGATTCCATCCTGAACCAGAACCCCGAAACAGACGTGTCCAAGCTCCTGGCATACGACCAGCTTACCAGTGAAATGAGCAGGGGTGAGGGGAAGCTCTTTTTCTCCCACTCTCCAGGAACAGAGATATCTACACACAGAAATAATTGCTGCCAAATCCCTATTTCCTAGAGACCTTTCCTGCTTTCTCTTGTTAAGTTCCCTGAAGAAGAAAGTCAGCAGATGTCAAATACAGTGGCAGTCTGTACAAGGGACTTTTTGCTACGTATACTGTAATCTCCCAATCTGACTCCTCTCTAAACTGGACATCATTCTGTCACAGTCTCAGGCATTTGGATTTGAACAGTAGCACTTGCAAAGCAACCCGAGCTTTTGTTGGAAGGGGACATGCATGCACCATGTGTTCTTTGTTTAAATAGCCACTGGCTAGTTTTTATCCTCACTATGTAAGAACTGGAGCTTGCTCTCTTTCTGGAGCCCAAGCCCAGTTTTTTTCTAGTCATGTATGTACATGGCTGTTGTTTGTAGCCAGCGTTAGTTAAGCAGTGCTGAATAGCTGCAGAAATGTGCTGGGTTCTTAGGAAGGAGGAATGTGTCGTTCATGCTGCTTTTCTCTTCCCTCACAGGGTCTATTTTCAAAGGATTCCAGGAGGCAGACATTCGTTTCCGCCCTTCCTACAAGTTTGACATAGGAAAGGACAGCTACGACACCACTTCCAAGCAAAGGACTCCTTCCTACACGGTAGGGATGGTTTCAGAGCACTGGGTTCAGAGGGGCTGCTCAGCCCCATGTCTGCCTCCAAAGGGGATTCTCCTACGAGAAAAAGCTCCTTTCCACAGCCCACCTGCATGAGATAATCATGCTGAGATTTGCTGCTTAGGGGCAACAGGGCATGTGGAGCTGGTTTGGCAGAAAGGATTGTGGAATCTGGGAGCACAGGGAGAGTTGGGCATAGGCTGCTGATCCTATTTTCCCTGCCTTATGTCCTGCTCCCTGCATTCTCTGCTGTGATCAGAGCTGGGTGCAGAACCACTGCTGGTTCTTCATGAATGTGTCCCTGTCCAGGACACTTTAATTTCACTAATTGAAATATGACAAATGAAGGGATTTGTCTCTTGTGAACCAGTGCTTCTTTCCAGGGGGGATGTGCAAAGGGTGTTACGTCCCTCTCCCCTTTCTCTGCCCCCCAGGACCGAGTTGTATTCCGCAGCCGGTACAGGGATGACATCCATGCTGTCAAGTACTCCTCGTGTCCTGTGATCAAAACTTCAGACCATCGGCCTGTGTTTGCCTTGTTTCGTGTGAAAGTGAGGCCTGGCAGAGACAAGTTAGTACCTCCTGATGCCTCTCTGTACGACTGCACATGGCTCCAGGGATCCTGAGGATATGTTCCTATTCGGAGCTTGTCCTCTCAGGAGAGTTCCTGAAATAGGGTTTATCCCACGCAGCTCTGTGCAGCCTCCGTGGTTTTTACCCAATATACACTCTCAGTGGTCAGAGCAGTAAGAGTGCTTAAACCTTGCACTGACATCTGAAATCCCTGCTGCTGGGTTCCTTAATCCTCCTGAGGGAGATAAACAGAGTCTGCTGCAATCGACTATAAAGCTGTGTTTTATCTGAGCTGCAGGTCTCCGGTTTTCCTGTCGGCAGGGGCAGCTTTCCTCTCTGTTCCTCTTTT